GGTTTGTACAAGAAATGATTTGGCACATGCAGTCAGTACAGTTAACAGATACATGGCAAATCTTGGAAAGGACCATTGGAAAGTAGTGCAGTGGATCCTTAGATACTTGAAAAGCTCTAAAAATGTTTGTCTGCATTTTGGAAGCAATTCAGAAGGAGTCATTGGATATGTGGATTCAGACTATGTAGGGGATCTTGATAAAATGAGATCACTCACAAGGTATGTGTTTACCTTTGGAGGCTCTGCTATCAGCTGGAAAGCTACTTTGCAAAATACAGAAGCTTTGTCTACAACAGAGGCAGAGTACATGGCTATTACTGAAGTTTGTAAGGAGGCTATGTGGCTGAGGGGATTAATTGGTGAAATCAGGAAAGACTTGCAGATATCTACAGTGTAATATGATAGCCAAAGTGCTATATTTCTAATTAAGGATTAGATATTCCATGAGAGGACTAAGCACATTGATGTGAGGCATCATTTTGTGCGTAAATTAATTGCTCATGGTGACATTGTAGTGAGCAAGATTGATACCAAGGAGAATCCTGCCAACATGATGACAAAACCACTTCCCATTGCTAAGATTGAGCATTAGTTAAACTTAGTAGGTGTTTGTCATTAGCTTAGCCCAGTGGGGCTTCGAAGAGGTGGAATGTGCTTATTTGGAGACATTTGGAATAATTTCTTGTAATGGAATTTGGTTCAAGGTGGAGAATTGTTGTAGCGTGACCAAAATTCTTGGGATTTTAGGAATTGTAATTAGGTTGGCATTGCAGAGACCAAGTCATCGACGGCGATGCCCTCCACTTCGACCTCGGGGGCAAGGTCGCCAGTTTTTCTATGTTCGAGTTTGCCCTAATCACTAGACTCAAGATTACAAGCGATGAAACAGCTCATGACGGTACTTAGAGAGGCAACAAACTATACGACACTTACTTCTAGCGACAGGGGATGGTACTTCTACCGCAGCTGATCGAAGTGATCAGGGAGTGTGACTAGTGTTAGACGAACTAAAGCTAGGTCTGGAATACATCCTTAAGACCTTGGTGTGGTGTCACCAGAAGAAGACTGCAATCGACCTTTTCCACCTGGAGATCATCAATGACATCTATGGCTTTAACAACTATCCATAGGGCCGAAGATCTTTCGAGGACACCGTACACAACTTCATCAGATCGTACTTAAAGCCCAAGGGGCCCATGCACAAGTACGATATCTACGGATTGTCCCTGATGGAGCAGGTAAATGTTTACATAATCAACGTCAAAATATTTATACTACTAAATTTATATATAATAATTGTATATGTTATAGATTTGAGGGAATGAGACTGTGCCCGTACTCAGTGCGTGCTTTGTGAAGCGACTAGAGACACGATGCCCTCAGATGCATCATTGGCGAGCATCTCGAGCGGATGTGGAGCGACAGTTGATGGGGAGGGTCGACGACTTATCCTACGATGTTAGAGTGCTACGTGCCCACGTCGTAGACCTCCAAAATGAGGTTGCAGTGCTCGGAGGTGATATTGTGGGTAGGCGATGGACTAGCAGAGAGGGTGATGGAGAAGGTGGCGGAGAGAAAGCTCACCTACAATTTTTGACAGATGATGCATTAGAATCATTTTTGTTATCCCCGATTGGGACGGGAGAGGTGGCGGGAAATGGGAGAACGAAGGAGATGGCTTCGATGGGGACAGAAGAGGCGATGGGAGAGGAGACCATGGAAGGGCTAGCCCCGATGGGGATGGGAGAGGCGGCGGAGGGGGTAAGAAGTGTGCGGTTGACATGACGGAGCAGGCAATCCTTGGGGCAGAGGAGGAAAAGAAACAGGAAAGGAGGCCCGTCATAACTGAGGGTAAGAAGCATGATGTTAACATGACTGAGCAGGCAATCGAAAAGACGTCGATATTGCTGTTGCAGTACGTTGTTTCTCCCTTCACTGTCGAGATAAAGAAGAGGAGGTTCGCTGATGGGACATTTCCCAACTTATTTCGGGAGGTGAAACATGTCAAATGGAAAGCGTTCAAGACGGAGTGGAAAAGAGTTTTGCTCGAGTAAGTATTCATGATATTAGTAAAGTATGCTACATTACTCGTATATACTTCTTTAACATTTTTCTGTTTATTTTTTCAGGGCCAGTCGTACGATCAGTCAAATGACTATCTTCGATGCTTATAAGTGGTTCCACGAAATCATCACTTCAAGAGCTTGGCTCGCCGACGATGTAAGTGAAGTAGTCATATTGTTATTTTTTATGTGTACATAGTTTTTTGTTTACGGAATGAAATAATGCCCTTTTTTATTAGTATTTCTTAATGTAGTAAATCGACCTGGCCATGAACTTGTGTGATCCAGTTCAAAGATATCCAGATCATTTGACAGTCCTGGCTGAGTCATACTAAACTCGGAGTTCGGACGAACCATTAACATTGAGTACAGTCGTTCCAATGTACTAGTAAGAAGTATGTGGTGCCCGACTATATGCTCTAGTAGACCATAGGGATGTGGCCATTTGTCGAGGAAAAGACATGGGAGGGTTATACGCATATGTATGTACCATTGATCATGAATCATCACTGTATAACTTTGGAGATTATATTCGCTGAGTCTACTATTTATGTGTACGACCCCCAATCATTCATGTTTGACACAAGGTCAGCTCAAGCAAAATTTGGAGTCCATCGCTATTTTCGTTTCTATGATGGCTAGACGGGCGGGGTTGACTATGTAGGACAGACTAGCCATCGTACGGGACACGAAGACGGCGAGGCAGACAATATTGTAAGTGTTTGTAAATTTTTTTAAATTTAATACTTGATTTTTTAACTGCATGGTAATGATCTAACTCGTTATTATCCAATTGCATGGGTAATTGCGACATGTTAAAGTACATAAAATTTTTTAGTATAGGACACAAGGTTGATGAAATCAACTAATCATGGATACAAATTTGGAGAAATAAGTTAGCGCGCGATTTATACGAATTTAATTGTGATCCATAAATGCAATAAATATTGATTTTTTCGTAATTAGGAAATGATTGTAAACACTTTAAATATTGATTTGTACATCGTGTCTAAATGTAGTTGTGTATTATTTTCTTTATTTAAATACTTCATTTATGATGTTAATTATTTATGTATATTAATTATTTAAGTAAATAAATAATTAATTAATTAATTAAAAACAATTAATTAAATAAAAATGAAAATTACATACACAATTAATATTCATAACCAATTAAAAATAAATATTAAATAAATAAATTTTATTACACATCTGTTGCATCACTATGTAGTGGAATTTAACTTATACAAAAACGTTATGTATGCCCCGCTGTGTCGCACTTGTCACACTTACGAGGTTGGGAAAATTCTCTGGTAGACGTATTCTAGACGTTCGTCTACGTTTAAAAGCATGTGGTCCAACTTCTTGTGGCAACAATTATTCAGTGAGAGAATGTGATCGAAAACTTCTCACTCGACTTCTTTTGATACAAGGAATATTGTTTCGACATACAATGTTCTCCAATAATTAGCCGTATAAAAAGCACTACACAAGGTGTGTGGTGGGGATCATCTATGTATAGCCACTTCACTACATGTGCACATATAAAAATCTCCAATTAAAACTGTCTACACGTGCACCTGCTACCATTCAAGTCCACAATATATCTGAAATTACGTGCATATCTCATAGAGAAGCGAAACTGATCCAATGGTTCTACGCATACCTTTCTAGCCATATCTAGAGTCTTGAAGAGTTTATCTTCCTGAGCCGGAGCTAGCACACTTGTGCAACTCTGTAATTCCTCACGCCAATCATGAAATCACTATTTTAACTTTTCACGAATGTTCTCAATCATTGTAAGAATTGGTAACTCTTGATCCTTCTTGAATAAGGCATTGAGCAACTCCGCATTGTTTGACCTCATCATGTTGTATCGACGTCCTGGAAATGTTCGATCCCCATCTCTGTTAGATACTCCCATGCAGCATGCGATTTATTTTCTATTTCAACTATGAACTTCTCAAACTCTTCAAAGTGTAAGTTCTGCAGCTCTCCTAAACAACACAACGATGCCACTGCCTCGATACCTAGTCTTCAGGTTTCCCTGTATATGGTACATACAATACCATGATGTGCCTCAGAAAAGACTTCGACGATACCATTTATTATTGACTGCTCTCGGTTGGTTATGAATGCAAGGTTTTCGATGTCCTCAATTACTTCCCTCAACTTCGTGAAGAACCAATGCATCGCTAGATCATTCTCTCCATCAACTATGTCGAATGTAAGAGGGTAAATTTGGATGATGGCACTTGACATGTGGCAATAATCAACTTGCTCTCGTATCTAGCCTTAAGGGTTGTACCGTTTACTAGACTTAGGGGTCGCATCGCGTTTTGAAATCTTCAAACGCATTGCCCAAGGGCCATTAAGAAATACTTGAAGCGATTCTCGTCATTCCTCTCAATAAAAAATGTCGATCCATTATTAGTTTTCCCCATGTTATAGCAATTCCTAACCTATTTAAATAAACAATAATCAGAATAAGTAATTACATATTAAATAAACAAAAAACAATTGAAATAAATAATTAACAATTAAAATATTAAATAAGCAACTAAACAATAAAATACCTGGCCAATTTAGAATAACTCTCTTCGGTCGAACCCATGAAGTCATCCAATGTCCATTCTTTGGCCTTCCAAACCTTCTGATAGTTCATGATCACCCTGTATTCTCGACGGATGTCATTAATGATGTTCGAAGGTCTATAGATCATTCGTGGGTCCTGAAACTTGTGCATTATTTCTTGACCAATGAACCATGCTCGGGCTTGCCTGTGATCATTTCGACGAATACCAACTTCGTAAGTATGTTCCCTTGCATACTTACGAATTACAAAGAACTCGTTTGTGTCTATTTTCATCGCTTGCAAATGCCAATGACAACCGTCGTCAATGTAGATAATTGTGTACGTCGACTTGTTTGATTTCTTCACTTTAAACTCGAAGTTTTGTTTCGAAGCAATCCGTTGCATAACATTCTATAAATCTTTCTTTGTTTCGAACATTGCTCGACATATAAATCTTTGTCATCGGGAACTAAACGCGAACAATTAGTGGATCGTGTACTCGGTCCAGCCTGTGAGTTCTCACTCGACTCACGTCCTCAACAGGATAAAGCATTCAAATTTTCATTTGTGAATGCATTTTCATTCTCGTTGTCTTCAACTGTCGAGAGAATTCTGTACGTAACAGTGAAATCTTGGTGATGAACCCTCATGAGCTTTCTCCACTGTATTCCAAAAATCATTCACATTATGATCCCCTCCATTGAAATCTTCGTGTTCACTCTCAGGGACATTCTTCTTCACCAAAGTTACGTAAATAAGAATAGAATTTTTCTGGTTCAATTCAATTAAAATCTGCATTTCAACTTCAGAAGTAATTGTTACAGGTGGAATTTTCTTACCGAATAGTGATTCCAATTTCATGTCATATTAAGAGGGGTCGACTTTGAGCTAGTTCTGTAACTCATTGTACATTAGTGCATATGATGTACTTGATGTTATCAGAATTGCAGTAGAACCATGTCTTTTACTCGTCCATTTTCAAACATCGATCATTTTTCTTCATTTCAAATTTACCAAAGCAACAAACTGGGATTGCAGCCGATCCCATATCTGCATTAAGAAATGACGATTTATTAAAAAAATTGTAAATAAGTGGAAAAAATAAGGAAAAAAATTGGAAACAAACGGCTGTTACCTAACACACGACTTTAACAGTCGTAGTAACAATTAACAAACAGCTGGCATCTGTTTGGTTTTTCGATTTTGCAGACGCCCATGAGTTTTTTCTTAAATAATATGCATTCAGACGAATTTTCTTCATCGTTCTTGCTAAAATAAAATATAGATCCATTTAAGACTGTAAAAATTTATTTGCCCAAGTCGAAATAAGATTTAAAAATTCAAACAATATACTAATTTAGATATAACAAAATTAAAAATACGTAAATGTACTTACCAATTTGAGTGATGGTTGTGAATAATATTTTCTTGTTGAACTTTGCATAATTTTGTAAGATCTCAATGTTGAAGCAGATGAAAAATGAACTTTCTTATTATCTATGTTGCAGAAACTGATAAGAAAATTGATTTGGTTTTGAAATTTACGTGGGAAGTGTTTGGGTTTATTTGTTATTTAGAAAGGATATTATTGTCTTTTTAACAATGATATGTTTTTGTAATTACATAACATAAAAGGGCAAAATCGTCATTTACATTTCAAAAGGCCATTGCGGTGAATGTTTAAAAAAATTTGGTCGATGTGAAAAATGGTTAGTTTGACTAGGCTAAACTAAAAGTACCCCGAATTATCAAAGGTTGGAATTGAAACAAAGATCATTTCTTTCCTATGTTTTAGCCTTGAATAAAAGTATGTCATCATCAATATATGTACCTTCAAACATTAGAATAATAAAATTGGAAACTTCAGATCTATTACTTGGATCATCTTGGACAAAATCATGAGTTAAATTAATTGTGTAAACTTTGCACATCTGCCACATTGCAAATTCGCTCTTTTGAACAAGTTGCAAGGAAAATTAAGAGGATTCATTTGAATGATGTTCGTAAGTTTGCATAGCAATTTCATATACATATAGACTTCAAAATCAGCGTTCTTTGAAAAATCACCCACTACCTTAGCCAGCTTTTACGCTTTTTAATGGTCGCTTAGCTTGAAACTTGAAACTTGAAACATACATTGATGGTTTATATAAACAAGTGTATGTGTGCTTATAATACATGTAAACAGGGCACACGAAGAAATTTACCATCCACAAGCACCAACCTCTTCACAGACAAGAACTAAAAAAAGTCAAATGATGACAAATTGCCAAATTGAGTTAATATTGCTGATGACCCATATGTGCAAAAGCTTCGTCATGATAAGGCGGTGGTAGGGGAGGTGGTCCGTGACCTTGGTTTGCATCGTCGGCGCTGAAATTTGGTTTTGAACTGTCCGGTTTCATTGTAGACGAAATTTGCTGTGGATTTCGATTCGCACCTTTGTTTGATGTTACAAATATATCATTAGGAGCGGAATTAGGTGCTTGGTCGACCTAGATATGGGCATAGCCTGGGTGTCGCTGAAAGTGGAGATTTCGGCCATTTTTAAGTGAGTTGGGTAGGCTTTTTTGATGAGAGACAAGTGAGAGGTGGAGACGAGAAGAAAGGATAAATTAGGGCTAATTTGAAATGATTTTGTTGAGTTTTTCTCTTGATTTGGGTCGGACAACTTTTCAACGTTGCTGAATGTTCCCTGACATTTCGCAACATTCACTTGAAAGTTACCAAAAGGGAAACATGCAAGCTGCAGCAACATTCATTTTACATTGCGAGAAGTGGGATTTTTTGTAGGGCTCAATGAATGTTGCAAAAAGTGGAAATCTTTGCAACGTTCAAATGAATGTTGCAAAATGTGGCATTGGCAGCATTCATTTTAAAAATATTGCTAAAACTCAATAAAATTAACCAATCGTAGCATTCGCTTATTAGAATTTTGCCATAAACTCCTTCAGCGACATTCAATCAATGAATAATGTCTTTTAAGTGTTGCAAAATGATTTTATTGGTGTAGTGAAGCTGAGAATATCAATGGATCCATTGGGGCTTGTTAATTATGCTTCCATGCATTATTAGTAATGCTTGATAAACTGAAAGTGTAGTTAGACGGTAAGGCCAAAGTTCAAGGTTTTATGTGTTTAAGTGGACCTAAACAAAGTCTAATGCTAAAAAGCTAAAATCATGGTTAGACGGTAATATTAAACATCTCGTATGGACGAAGTCTAGGGAACACTTTGACGTGCTTTTCTAAACATCCCGTACAAACAATAATAGATCTTTTTGATTTGGTTATATATATAATCAATTTGGTGTATTGAAATTTTCAAACAAATTTAAGTACTACTAGAATAACCAAAATTTGAAAAATAGTGTCCTAAATAGCTATTACAAGACCTTTTCTCCGGTCGATATTTAATTATAAAAATAATTGCTCTCCATTTATAGACTTGGTTCATTTCTTTTTTAATTTATATTTTCGTGTATAATAGTAATTGGGAAAGTATTGGAATGACATATCTGTAAAAATTAATTTTTGAAATTGGAAGTCTTTCTAAAGAATGCCATATTACCTGAGTTTTTGTAAGTAGATAAAGACACAAAAGGAAGGCGAGGAAGAGAAGATGAACAAACATATAATATGGACAAAAGTTCTTGTCAACTCAACCAACAATTTGGGGTCAAATAGAGAAATTACTATTTTAGAAGTGACTATAGTGGATATTTATATTTTTTTGTAGTAAAGAGAAGATTTTTTAGACAAAAAAGGAAAAAAAAAAATCAATATAACAAGCCAATTTTCATAGTTGCCTTAAAGTAAAAGGGCTTAAAAATGCTTGGATATTTTAATTTTTTGAACTTATAACAAAAACAGTTATATAATTTGAAATTTATTTTCTTAATTTTCAAAATAAGTAATTTGCTTTTTCAACTTTAATAAATAAAAATGGAGATTTTTAAAAAATTTACATATAAGTAAATCTTTTTAAGCTTAGTCAAACACACTTTAATTTGTCTTAATAAAATAATAGAGATATACAATGAACTACTCGCCGCTCATGTCAAATTTCGTTTTAAACAACTAGCACATGAATGATTGTGATTTTTTTTGGTTTCAAATAAGGGAAAATTGTAGCCACGGTACTAAACCATTCACTTTTGTGCTGACTTGATCCAAACATTTAATTAATGAAACCCACGGTACCAAACCCTTAAATACTCTCACATGGAGTTCAATTGGATGGTTTCTGACTTTCTATTAATTGACCCTTAGTTGTCCATATAAATAAAAAGTTTAACGACCAATTTTGACCTATTTAAATGTGGTGAAATGGCATTTTTATATTATTCTACATAAAGGATTATATAAATTGAATAAAATGTATAAAAAAAGGGGAAAAAAAAATTGTTCCTCTCCTTCCCTCTGCCCACAATCCCCATTCCTGGCCGCCAAAACCAAAACTAAGTCCAAAAGCCACCGCCACCGCCGGCGCCACCTCCTCAACACCAGGCACCACCACCACCGTTAGGTTCGCAATATAATCTTTCCTTATACCATTATAACACTATATTTTTGCCATTTGATAGAATCCAAACTGTTTGGTCTGCATTTCGTTTGGGTTTCTTCAGTTTAATTTGCTAGTTCTTAGAGAAAAATGGAGGGTGGTGCTACCGTTGTTTCAACAGAGAAGGCATCAAAATCTGCTGGGGTAGCCTCAGACACCTATTGGGTCAGGGAATTAACCCATGATGCAGCTCCAAGACCCGTCCTCAAGAAGCTTAATGTAAGGATGGGAATGGAGGGTGGGGGTAGAGGGAAGCAGAAGAAGAACCTTTCATTTATTTTTTTGAAACTTTATTTAATTTATATAATTATTTTATCTAGAATAATATGAAAGTACCTTTTTACACTTTTCAAATTGGCCAAAAGCGGTCAAACTTTATTCTTATTGATAACTAACAGTCAAATTAACAAAAATCATCCATTTGAACTTCATGTGCGTATTTTTGAAAAAATTGGTATTGTGTGTATGACAAATTAAAGGTTTGAGTTAAATTTGCATCAAAATTAAATGTTTAGTATCGTGATTACAATATTTCCTTGACATAATAAATTTAATATTAATTGCTACCAACGCTGACAAGAGCTGACTACTGTTCCTAGGACAATAATATTATCCACTTAAACTTGAAATAATGTGTATTAATTAAGATGGATTGTACTATTTACTTGGAATCAAACATATCATGGGATCCGCCATAAGATCATAATGAGCTTTGTTTGAGTAGGAATCCTTGTGACAACTCCTATTCAATTTTTAGGTGATTGTTAGTAAAAAAAAAAAATTACAAAATGGTAAGAATACTATATATATATAGATTGCTATGATACTTTTTAATTAATTACAATGGAGAGAGCATAATCTATAGTTACGTCTCACCACCTTTGCAAAGAAACAGAAGAAAGCAAAGCACTAGAGCACGATAATAATAATTGTTGTTTCAACATTGTAAAAACCTCGTAAGTGATGAGGGATTGTGTAGGGGAAAGGGATAATTGTTATTCCCCAAGGCGAGGTTGAAAGAGAAACTAGGAAGCAGGAAGTTCACGAATTTACATAATATTATCGATTATTGAATTTTGTCCTTCATTCCATCCACCATATTCGAGGGGATCAAGTTCTTAATTTTATGACAGGTTGCACCTTGGAATTGAGGCAGGGTATGAACGATTTGCCCTCTGTCATGAATGGTGTGGACAATTTGGTTCATCGTACACTAAACAACAAGTGAGAGAATGCAAATCATATGATATACATGCTTTGAATAGAGTAACCTCGACAAATAGGATATATAGAAGTAATGGATAAGACTAATGAGTTGAGCAAAAACATGATACTAATAAAAATACTTAAATGTTCAATGCACAACATGATGGGCGAGATTAGGTCTATTCTGTAACCAAGCAAAATTTTAACTTGTACTATCTCTTTACTCCATAGTTCAATCTTCAAAATATTATTTGAAATAATCAACAGTTTAGCCATCAAATTATTATCTGAAATACTCCACAATTGTAAGCAAAAATTGAGTGTTCTGATACTGTAATGAATAGGGTAATTCCTAATTATTATCCAACAATAGTACTGCACTGCACACAACTGTATATCTCCAGCATGGCAAGATTAACAATGATACATGAAGCATGATTTTGTCAATTAACATTGATAAAATCATGTGAGAACCACAAATAAGGAGAGAGGAAAGCAGAAGAAACAACATAGACAAACAAGGACACTAAATGAATTCATGGTTGTACAATACAAATTTTAGAGAAATTTAATTGCACTCTTAATGCACAGCTCCTACATTGAAGTTGGTTTAGACTAAGCTCTCATACCTCGAACCAGAGACTGTATCAAAATTCAGAGGAAAGGAACTAAGAATGCAGAGAAAGATAAGAAAGCCAAAATCGAAAAATGGAAATGTTCACAAAAGAAAATGGTACATGCAAACGATTGGAATGGGCAATTTTGAAACTCTGCACATTTATTATTATTTAATATATAACTTGAAGGCATCATTTCCCCAACTCAATTGTTCCTCTTCTATTTTCTTTGCTGATTCTACAATTGAATATCCACAACCATGCAGCTCGATGGATTGAAGAGTCAAAATTTGTCCAAAACCACTAGGGATCTCATCCAGCGTTGAATGCAACAAAACTGAAATGACTAGGCGCTCGAGACTCGGGAAGTGGATACTGTCAGCTCTCCAGTGCTTCAGTCCAATGTCGCATAATAGCAGATATTTCAATTTAAGAAATTCTCCTTCATTTGGTTCCCACTCTTGCCAAAGGAAGGTACTGCGTCTCAATTTCAGCACTTCAAGATTTGGCATCGAACCAAGAATCGGCAAGTTGGAAGTATAAATGCCATCTAAAGTCAACTTTCTAAGTGATGTCGGAAAAGTGATATCGGCTAGGAAATTTGGGTGCGTCAATTCAGTACAATAGTTTAATGATTCAAGTTTAGTTAGATGGACAAGATTATTGATACAGATTTCTTTCCAACGAGCCGCCGTCATATAATCATAATTGATAGCCAATTCCCGTAGATTTGGAATTCTTTCTAGGACCTCGTCTGTCCATCTAAAATTTTTTATCTTCGAGAGTGTTTGTAGGTTTTCTAGAACAACAATAGAATTCTCTTCCCCCTCAATTTCTGAACTAAGAGGATCAGGAAGAAGTACATCATCAGTCAACTCGACATGTCTTAATTGTGGCATCTTCCATATTTCTGGTGGTAGTTCAATGGATGCACTATTGTTCCAACAATACCGCCAACAAACTATTGTTTGTAGATTCCGAAGTTTATTTATTGATGCAATGGACAGTGTATGGTAGCAATAGATGTACCGTATGTTAACCAATTCTTCCATTCCATCTGGCAAATGATCAGATTTCTGCATATGCAGTACTTTAAGTGACCTAGAATCGAAAGAACATTCTACAGATGATAGTGTTTTGTCTTCACACTGGAGAGTCCCTTCAGCCGCATGGTAAAATTGAAAAGATGATAAAGTCTTCTTATCATGAATACTTACACGGCGCATACTAGTGTTTCCTTGAGTACCATAAAGACTTCCTTCAATGACATGGAAAAACTTTTCTTTTTGAGCTTCTCTGACACAAAGATCCCGTAACAGATCGTGAATTCTACATGTTCTAATTTTTCCATTGGACCCTTTCTTTTGATCCAAAATAAGACTTCTTTGAACGAGATCCAAAAAGTACTCCTCTCCTACGTCTTCCAAAGTTTTAGAACATGCTGGTTTGAGGATTCCCTCTGCAACCCACAACTTGATAAGTACCTTGACATTGATTTCAAAATCTTCTGGAAAAATTCCCATATATAGGAAACACCCTTTCAAATGATAAGGCAAATGTTTATAACTTAAAGAAAGAATCTTAAAGCATTGTTCATCATTTGAAGTCATTTCCGAACTGAAATTTTCTGCAATACTTCTCCAGTAATGTGGTGTTTTAGTGGCCTTTGATAGGAGGCCCCCAATCACAGCAACTGCAAGTGGAAGTCCTCGGCAATTTTGGGCAATCTTCTTGCCGATTTCTTCCAGTTCAATAGAGCAAAAACCTTTTCCAAACACCTTCAGACGAAATAACTTCCAACTTTCTTCGTCATTCAGAAAACGAACACGATGAAGAGGAGAACCAGAGTTGATATAATTAGCCACATTCTCTAGCCTAGTAGTCAAAAGGATTCTACTTCCAGTTTTGTCATCTGGAAAATATATTTTCACACTGTCCCAGGCCTTGATATCCCACACGTCATCCATTACAAAAAGATACCTCCTATCCTTTAGGTTCCTATACAGAAGTTCTCCTAATTGATCAATTCTCTTTTCATTCCTCTCATCAATTTGTATTTTCATGGAATCTAAGAGGCCTAGTAGGATTCCTCGCACACTATATTCTTGAGACACAGTGAGCCAGGCACGAATGTGAAAATGATACACAATATATTTATCAATGTAAACTCTGTGAGCAAGTGAAGTCTTACCGATGCCACCCATGCCAACAATTGCGACAATTTCAAGTTTTGATGAATCTCTAACAAGACTATCCATGATTTCTGCGAAGGCATCATCAAGACCAACCATAGTGCTCTGATCCCAAGAAACTGGTTTTAATGAACTAACAGGCAATGAGGTGCTGCACTCCAAATCTTCTTGTATGCCACTCTCATCCTCAATCTTCTCAGCCCTTGTCTTTATGGAATCAACTTCTTCAATTAGTTTCTCTATTTTATGGAATAAAGTCGTAAAAATGTCACCGCTATGACTTGCAGATTCTTCAAGAACTCGATGTGCAATCCAGGATTCAATGATATCTTCTATTTGACATGCTGCATCGCTGATGTTTCTCTCCAAACCTTCTATTGATTCGATGTTTTCTTGTGGAAAATTATGAAGAAAATCTTGCAAGTAAACAATTTTTATAAGGAGGGAATCGATTTGTTCTTTCTCCCCAGGAAGAATATATGAAGAATCATATTTCAGGGTGCGCTGTAGAATATGAGTAAGAGAAAGAACGCGAGCGTAAGCCATTTCTGTTCTCTCCTATCACAGCTTGGATGATAGAGAATTGAAGCAAATGAAAGCAATCAAGATCTTTTCCACCCACACATCATGAATGTATATATTGTTTAAGAATGTTGATAGCAATCTGCAATTTCTTAATTGAATAAGAGGCGGGTAATGGAGACTTTGGGAAGAAAAAATTATATTAAATTGAAACAGAAAATTTTGTTTATTGAATGGATGCAGACTTCACACCAAACTATGCAAATATATATTGTTAAAGAAAGTTGATGCAATTTGCAAATTTTAAACTAAGTGAAAAGCTAGCAATCTGGGCGCTAGAGGAAGAAAGACAATACAAATTTACAATAAAATACATTTTTTTATTGAATTGACGAGGACTTCTCACCAAATAAGTTGAAATTAAAACAGCGCCAGTCATCATATTCTACTGATTATATGTATGGATATTGTTGACCCCGAAATTCTATGAGGTCTTGCAGTCAACAGATTTCAACTTTTTCGCTCTTCACATCTATGTAACATGTAAAAACTTGGACACCATGTTAGAATGATCGTGACCATAGCTCCGGCGAGATGCGATGACCACGGGCACTCCAACACTCAAGTCAAATGGCGGAAAAAGTATTAGTGCCTGGGAGAAGTCAATGGACGAATATAATAAGTTCTGAGTTCAAGACTGAATACCAAGATCAGTGGGAGAAAGTCAACGGATGAATATAATAAGTTCCGAGTTCAAGAATGAATATTACCAAGAAAATGTGTGAAAAATATTCAAAATTGCACTCGAAATTTTATTACTTTTGGAAGACAGTAAGTGTAAGCTTTTAGTCCAAGAAAGAAGAATTAAAGTCCATGGAATACTTGACGCGTGGCCTCATCCTAATGGCTTATAAATAATGTTCAAATGTGACAATCCTAGCTGACATAAATTGAAAAGTAGCCACATATGTTATAGGCCTATAATCTGAAAAGTCGACAAAAAGGTTCACTGAGCATACCAGCTATAACGTTGTCAAATCTATATCAAGCATACAGAGTATCTTCGTATGGAGTGTCTTTGGCAAACTTGACACATGTCAAAGATGCCCTTCACAGGAGATGACAACCACCTCAAGAATACACTGCTACAAAAAGTGATGCCTCACTTCGAAAGTGTTCACTTTGGATGAGGCGCCAATGGATTTCGCTTAGATACCAAATTACCTCGTAGGATTATTTGAATGGGAGAGGGAAAGTGGAGTATTGGGTTTGTGACCCAAATTAGAAGGATTTTTTTTGGGAAAATTATTATTTCCTTATTTTCACGTGATTTTATTGGGAATATATTATTTCCTTATTTTGACGTGATTTTATTGAAAATATATTATTTTCTTATTCCACATTATTTTCATCTTTATGGCATGCCTTGTACCTATAAATATAGGCCTCCTCTTTCAAATTTGTTCAAGCCTTATTGCTATATTGTATTTCTCCATATTGTTGATTATTAAAATGTCGTGTTTCTGCGATTATCTCTCTTTGTCTATTTATTTACATTTAAATCTTGTTTTTTCTTGCGATTTTCATATTTTATATCTTGTCATTAAATCTAAGGAATAATTAGTTATATGATGATTGAATCATTATATTTATTTTAAATTGTGATCCGATAATTGTGACCGGTTCTTGATTATAATTCATTATTTCAAGTTTGTCTTGATTTAATTTTCTGTTTAGCTTCAATATTGTAATTTCAAGATCGAGTTATAATTTTCTTTTTTTTTTCTTTTAAATTTTCAACTTTAGTTAATTTGGAAATTCTTGTAAATTGATATGATATTTGGAGATCGGGCTAAGGAAGATGAAGTACTGGAGGGAAAAATAGATTCCAATCAGTCTACCCATGTGCATACTGTCTGCACACATAGATACAGATTGCATGCTTCGTGCAGATCTAGTTCGATCTTGAACAAATTCAATTAGATTTCAATTTAATTTTTTAGTCATCTTTGAGTAACTAATAATTATTAATTAACTTATGAATAATTTAAATATCTTTGAAATATTGTCATTCAAAATATCATGACATTTTGACATGTTTGTATGGATATAATACATCGGACATTGATTTTCTTACGATTAGTTCAATTCAAATTAAATTTTTCATGTTAAGCAAAATTCTAAATAATTAAACTTTAGGTTAATTAGATTGATGTGAACAATTAATTGCTATTTAACATTAAATTTATCATTTAAAATATACATTGGGAAATGGTGTTTATTTAAATATTCCTTGATCACACTTTTTAAAAGTGAACGCACTCTAATACCAAGCGAAAATTTTAAAAGCTAAAAAACTAAAATCTAATTTTAATTTACTATTATAACTCTGAACAAATGGTAGTACAACACGCCACAGTCAGTTTATATTAGTTTTGACTGTTACATACAATTTAGGGTTAATAATCCAAATGGTCACTGAACTTTGCAAAAAAAAAACAAAAAAAAAAAATTCACGGGGTTATGGAACTTTAAAAATCATCTATCTCTGTACACAATATATTATGATTTCTATTTATGTTTCTTTATTAATTACAATTTCCTTTTTCAGAGAAAATTTTATTGGGTGAAGGCCACAGCAAAAATGGAAAAAATAGATAAAAAATGTTGTTATATGGCTTGCAGCAATTGTTATCGGCGATCAAGCGCTGATTTTGGTGAAATATATGTTTGTATTTTTTGTAAAAGTTCCAATTCCAAAACTATTCCTTGGTAAAATATATTTTTTCACACCTTTCTATATATATATATATATATATAGTTTCTTACTACATAAATAAATAATTACTCTCTTTATCTCAGAGCAAGAGCATATATCCAATTATCAGATGTCACAGGATGCATAAATGCAATTGGTGAAGTTGCAGAAAAACTTATATTCACAAATGCACAAACTTTGATGGAAGAAACAAACTTTGTAATAATTTACAGTCTTCTCCAATCTCTTTTGATATATTTGATAGATTTCTTCATAACATTCATATTTTTTATACACAGGGTTCACAAGCAGATTTTCGAGATATAATTGGAAAAATGCAAAATATTGAAAGAGCATTCTATCTCAAAGCGACTCAAGCAGAACCTAATTCATCCAATTACAAATTTGACATCATCTCTGTCGAATGTTTAATTGTAGATGAAGAACAAGATTGTCAAAAAAATATTAATTCTGAAAAGAATTTGGACAATTTTAACATAGATGTAAGCAGATGCAGATGACAGTTGCTCCCTTCCAGCCAAAAAAGCTCTTTTCAAATCAGCTACTCACCAGTCAGAGTTAGAAAGTGCCGGCTCAAATTCATTTATATTGGACAAAATGAAAGAAAAAATAGAGTAAAAAATGGAATGACAAAATTCAGTAGTATTATCTTTAAAAAACAAGCCAAGTTCATTTTGCATAATATTGTATATATTTTTGGTCTACCTTATGGTTATTTTATAGCTTTCAATGAAATTACTTTCTCTTCAATTTCTCATTTTCAGCAACTTAAGACACTTATTTTTTTAAATACTCGGCATATTCCACGCTAATATTAACAAAATCTATACAAAACTCGTGCATCGCACGAGGCGGAGACTAGTTATACATACAAACACAAAAGGCGGCAACGTGAGATAGAAAAAGAGGCGTCGTTGGGCTGAAATTAAATTGTAGAATTAACAATAAAAGTGGCAGATTACGCGAAGACAGGCTCGCGGTTGAGAGATAAAATTCCAGAACTTTTTTGGTTCAAATAATTCATCAAGGATTGTGCCAAGGATTTGGAATTAATTATGTTCTGTCAATTATTGGTGATGTCGTTCCTCTTTTATTTGTTTAATGTCAATATCATGCTAGGCTAACTTTTATATTGCTAGATGTGATGAACCATTGTTATGAATTTTTAATTCGAATAATTTAATTGACGTTAATTAATTTAATTGTTTGGATATTTATTATGGTTTAGTTTCAATTAATTGGCCACTAGTTAAATTATTTGTAGATTTTATTATCATCGAGAGAGATAATAGGATCGTCAGCATATAGTAATAGACTTTGTGAAGTTCGATAGAGGATAAAGATATACTTTTATGCTTCACATGATTTTTAAAGATGTTCTGACTCGTTTAATGCACTTATCATGTTCACATCTTTCATCGAGAGATAGGAAGGTCACATGAGGGGAATATATTTTATAACTATCAAGAGAGGTTTTCAAGTAAAATAGGAACATTAACTAACAAGCATGATTTGAGATTGTCAATTTAAATTGTTGAACAAAAAATTGAGTAGCAAGGGGGATTCTATATTTTAGCAATATTTCTCGTGATTTTGATAAATATTTCAAAGTACTTGATAGATTTAACATTGTCTAGTTACCAATTGATTTTGCTATTCGATTAAGGGTAGTGTTAGCCTTTACTGGATCAAACACATAGTTCTCGAGGATTCGACACATTACACATTACTTTATTACTTGTTAACATCCCATCCACTTGTGGGTAATCAATCGACCACAACATTTTCTTGTAAGACATTAGGAGGAATCATGAATGTAGAATATTTTGTAACATTGAAAGTTATTTCCTCCATCACTTTTCTTTTTCATCAATTTTTCTTTCTTTTTCGATTTTTTTTTCAAAATATTGCACCAATAATGAAACTTATAAATTGAAATTGAATAATATGTTCCATTCCACCAGTCATAGTCCTACCAAAATTTTAGACACCCCCACATTTATTTCTTTCGCACTTCCATATATCAACATGAAGAATAACACTCAACTAGCTTTACGACTTGGGTAAGAATATTGTTTTTCCGATATAAGGCTTGTAAAGTGGGTTTACAAAAGAAAATAAAGCTCACAGGGGCTTAACAAAGGGAAAAATTAGTTGTAGGGTAGGCTATTTGGCTAAGGTGGCTAACTCATATAACAAAGATGGTCTTAACCATGTTAATGCATGCATGTATCAATATGGTCTT